GGGAGCAGGTTGGCGTGCTGGTGTCAGCCCCCAGGGCAGAGGGAAAAGTGCCCTGGAGCCACTGTCTTTGGTTTAGGTCTGGAGCAGGAAAGTCTCCTTGAGATAAATTCCGATTTAAAGGCAAGCTGTCTCACCGCGGCTCCACTCTGCGCGCAGCGGAGAGGAATACAGTTATGCTCTTGTGTATGCTGATATCCTTAAATTGGATGACAAGCACTAAAAGAATATAAACAAGAGGCTGGAACAGTTACCAGGAAGCCACATGCAGCATCCCGGTACGGAGCGGCAGAAACTCATCCCTAATTGGATCACTGAGTGGGTAACAGGGAGAGCCAAGCAGAGGCCATGGTGCACAGCTGGCGAGCATCCTCTGGAGCAATAGGAACCCAAATGTTCCCACTTAGCTTTTGTAAATAAAAGGCTGAATAATAAACCAAGCAGTAAAAATCATCTTACATCACAGAAAACATTATCCTATCTGGAAGGAAATAACAGAAATTTTAAAAGTGCCCACTCTAAACGTGTGCAGGCCACCTTTGCTCATGGAGAACCTGATCTCAGGTGATGCGATACAGCTCTTTAGACCTCAGTGGCTTTATACTGCAACGAAGCCAGAGTCCTCTCCAGCCTCACAACAAGGCAAACGTTTTACATACTGGCACGGTGACAGAAAAACTGAAGTTATCACCAGGCTTCAATAGCAACGAACCTGAATTTTGGAAGAAATATGAATGTGTACATTTTCTTCTTCTAAATCACTATCATCTCTCTGAGAAAGAACTTAGCACTCAAACACTGGTTTTATTTTTCAAGAAGAAAAAACACCAAACCTTTTGTTATCCAATATACCCCTGGAAGCGTGGGAAGCTTCAGCAGTGCATTGTACAGTTTCATTATGAAAAGACACCCAAGTGGGTTGTCCTGAAGGTGGTTGCAAAAGGCCACTTTGCAGAGTGGTCAGTAGATGTTAAACAGTGTGCGGGATGCATATTTTCTTAGAATAATCTTCTTTTCATTACTCTACAAAACTGGCAGGAACTTCTTTTTCCTTGTATATAGCAAATCAGCTTGGCAATATTGAAGCCAACCTAGAAATTTATTTTGTTTTGCTCTGCCAAATCAGATCGTTCTGCTCTCAAAAAGCAGGTAAAGCCAAATCGTATTGCAATGTTTATATTTTAGCTCTGTAACATTTTCATTTGAAACATCTGATTTCAAATGTTGTTAAGACACCTGAAAAAGCTGCTTGGGTCAGCTGGATCTTTCAGAACTCTTTTCATCAGCACTGCAGGGTGGCTGCTGGCTCAGTACAAACCAGATGACAGGTTGTGCAGGGTAAGAAAGTCCCTATGTGCTTTGTCTGCTTCCAAGGAAGAATGAGACTGGGACTTTTTGTAACAGCCAGTACTTAATTTCTCAGCACAGGATTTTCTAGGAGATTTTAAAAACCACCAGAGAATTGAACTACACGTGTACCTACCTCTGTCTTCAAGGAGGCTCCATGTTGTCTAGGGTTTGGACACTCAGAACTAGTATCAGTCTGGCTGGTCTGTCTTGAAAAATGAGGCACTGGTCCTTAAAATGAGATAATGAGGTATCTGCTTGAAGTATGCACTTAAACTAGCTTCTTCGCTTACATAGCCTGCATGTACGAGTGAGTCAGAACGGATGTTCTCATCTGGGAGTGACTAGAAGATAGTTGGTGATGCTGGAGGTCCTCACGTGGAAGCAGCAGCTGCTGCAGAGACTGGGAATCTCCAGCTCTCCAAGAGACTGCATGGTTTATCCCCTTTCCTCTTTCAGAACATTTGATGAAACAGGATCGCCCCTTTGCCCTCTGTTCATCCACAGGCAAAGTAAACTGGTATTAAGACAATTCCCCAAACTGAATGTCACACTTCAGTGCTTCTGCTAATAGCTGCTGGAGTTGCAAAGGAATTTCCATGGTTGCACTATGGTCAAATATATGTCTTTTTTGTTTCCATTCCTAATGGATAACAGATACTCATCGCAGATGGAGACAGGATGTCTGACTGATGTGCATCACTTTCTCAAAATTATACAAATTGCATAAGCAGGAGTCAAAAAAAATAGTTTCTTTCTCTAACCCCATTGAGGGTCATTAAGATTTTTTTCACATTCCCTTAAACATACATCTTGCTAGGATCTTCAAGACATGCCTCCCACAATCAGTTCTCTACCTTATCTGAGGATTGAATTACTAATGATTTAGCTTTTTGAGAACTGAAACATTTTAGTATAAAAATCTTTGAGCTCAAAAGCTCAAAGCTGCCTGTGAAAATGCAGTGGCTCAGATTACCTGATGATCACTTCTGATTTAAATGACCAGGTTCACAGGAAGGTCTCAAGGCACATTTATCTATAATTACCTCCAATTACAATTTAAAAAGGCAAAACTCTTAGTACAAGATAATCAGGAGGCCTCAGTGAGTCTGAGCCACAACTCTAGACATGCAATGCTGTACAACAGACCTCCGAACCTTGAACAAGTCTAATGTTTTCTTTTTGAAGGACATACATGTTTCTGTTTCATAACAATAGATTCCAAGAAATTTTACCCATAATAAGGCTAAAAATACTTCCCTGGGCCTCATAAGAAATTAACTCTTGCCTGTTTCTAAAAAGTTTGAAGTTCCCTAGCTGGTAGCAGCTATTTGAAAAGTTTGATATTCAGCAGCGTGTCATGTAAGGCCAAGTTTCTAAGGAAAGGCACATACCGAGGCTGATTCAGGCAACACAATATCTTCAGGTGACTGCAAGGCAAACAGTTCAGTACACACTATGTTTTGGTATGTCATGCAATGCCGACTAGCGCCTGTGTGGTACAGCCTACCTCACCTAAAGGCCTGCGGGCCTCATCTTCTGCCCTTGTTTGATCGGGGAGTCTGAACTGCCTCAGTAGCTGCACGTGAGCATACTGACAGTAGAGCACGAAAACTGGAAAATTCAGAGAATTGGCCCACCTGCCCCTCGGTTCAAACTAAAGAAACAGTTCCCTCGTGCCTCTTCCTTCTCTTAATGACTCAGAAAACCTCTAGGTCTTAAGAAGTTATGAAGTTAAATCACTAAATACGTGACGGAAGATTCAGCCCTTTCTGCTACGTAGTCCATAGTTGGGTGGAGACGACTGACACGCAACGGATTCATCCGAAGATGAGCCGCCGCGGTCAGTCTCGTAGCACGGCTGCCTTTCTTCCCATGCCTTTACCCACGTGTGATCTGCAGCTCACCTCCCATTCTATGTCATACAGACTTTCCCAAATGCCGTGACCAGTATTAAAACGTTTTCCTTGTATGACAAAAAGTCTCAATGCTGGTAGTAGTACTTGCCATCAGTCGGTTCTGTCTCTTCTCTGCAAACAGTCCCACAGAATTGCACGGGAGTACTCACAGTCATGGAGACTCGTGCAGGAAGAGATGTCAAATAGTTGCCCTCGGGCACCAAGGCAGGATCACCCGTACTCCTGCAGCACACCTGAGGGATGTTTGTCCATCTGTTCTCAAAGGCCTCTGGCAATCAACAGTAATATTGGTGGTTATGTCTACAAATTTCTTCCAGTATTTCCGTGCCTTTCCCATAAGGACTGCCTGAATCTGAATCTTTCTTGCTAGCTTGTCATTGCTCCTTGCCCCGTGTATCACCAAGAGGAGATTTATTCCCTTCCCTTTTCAAAAAGCCCAATGTAGTTAAGACTTACATTTTCTTCAGTCTACTCTTTCATAGGCTGAACCACCCCAGTGTGCTCATTTTCTCGCTGGTTAAACATTACAAACCTCAGTTCCCTCTGGCTGCTCTCCCCTGAGCTCCTTCCCGCCGGCCCGCAGCTGCAGCAGCCGGGGGGCCTTACTGGTGCTGGGAGTGCAGGGGCTCATTTCATGTACCTCTCAGGTCATTTTTCTGGTATTCGTCCCAGGACAGTGTTTTCCTTTTCACACCAGCATTATGACATTGCTGACTTGAATGCAGGTTGCGATACATGGCAGTTCTCAGGCTCTTTTCTGAAAACTGCTAGCTAGCCAGCAGTTCCCTCTCCTGTATTTGTGATTTTTAACAGTTCCTACGAGGTACAGAAATTGAATTTTCACCTACTGCATTGTGTTTTTTCCAGACTAGTTATTTAGTTTCCTTTTGAATTCTAGCTTTGTTCTCCAGTCCCCCCGGCTTGCGCTTTGTCCGGTGCCAGCAGAGGGGGGCTGCCGGCGTGCCAGAAAACGGGGCTGGAATTCCACATGGTCTCGATCCAGTTCAGTGCCCGCCGAGGCCAGCGGCGATTCCTTTGACAAGAACTGGATCGGTTGCCAATGGAAAAATACAAAATGGGGCCCTGAACATCATATAAACAGAAGAGATCAGCAGTTAATTTGGTATTTATCCATATACTATGAAATAAAAAGAAAATATTTTAGGATTCAGAAACTCCACGACATACGTTTTAAGATGCATTGCTTCCCGGTCACTTTACTTGCCTGCCTTCCATTTTCTAAAGGACTTTTTTTGATTTATGTATTAGTATGTTTGTATGACTGTTTGCTTTTTTAAGAGGAAGTTAATGTAGTTTCAGATAATTTATTTAGACACTTCAGATCTTGGGACAGGAAGAGTGTATCACCACTATATTTTAAATGTAATTTTTTTTTTTTTTTTTTTAACTACAAAACTTAAAAAAAGAGTCTAAACTCACTTAAAGCTTCCCCAAATATACTGAGATACTTCTTCCCCAGCTCCACACATCTCACAACTGAGCTTAACTCACGGTTTTGTCCACCATTGCGTCACTAAATCTGGGCATACTGTTTCCAAAACTGCTTAAATTCGAGCTGGCAACAACAAAGCAGGCTGCAAAACAAGCAGGTATCTGACCTACCACTGGACTCCAGAACCTACTCACTCAAATACAAACCATTTAAAAACAGGTTTGATGATTCTTCCTAATGCTTTAATAAGCGTTTCAAAACTTAGTTGTAGATAAAAAGTGTACACCATGTTTACAGTGTTGATATTAAAATGAACTCATTTTATACATATTGTATTCATTAGAAATTTCAATTTAACTTCCAGGTTCTTCTAATCAACATAACCGTGAATTCTTCTGTCCTGTAAAATGAAGAAAATTACATTTTAAAAGGTGGCAGTGCAAACCAAAGAAAGCATGGATAGTAAATGATACTGTACAAGTCACTTACTTCCATCAAGAGAAGACAATGTAAACCACTAGCGCACAGCCCATGATCCAGCCAACTATGAGGAGGATGGGTACGACGAGACGTGACAGTGGGACTTGGGCTGAAAGAGAAAAGATGGGCTTTTTCAGACAGGCCACATTTCAGTGACGCTGAATTCACTAAATTAAACGCATCAAAACCACGAATATCACAGAGCAAAAAGATACCTATGAGCTCGGGCCACATTCTCTACAATTGCTATTTTTAACACAGAATCACCATACCTTGGCAGGGCTTCTAGTGAGGATCCACTGCCAAAGCCCAAAGAGATTTCCACGCTGCGGTCTCCGCAATCAGATAGGTACAAGGCTTAGCACTCCCCAAAGCAGCAGGGCGCAGGGAGGAGACAAGCACGGCTCTGTCCTCGGTCTCCACGGCTCATCAGGAGAACATCTGTACTGGACTTTATGGAGAGCAGCTGTCCTGGCAGACTCAGGAGTCAGGCCCTGTCACGTACAGCACCTTCTAGAGTTCTCATTAGGTGGGCAACAGCGGATCAAAAATACAGTGACAGCATTTAACGTGGCACCGTTTATGACCCGTGTGCCGGGCGGGGGCTGCGGTGAGGGGATGCTGTACGAGCCCCCACACCCCAAAGGGATGTTTCCCACTGGCTGGGCATCAGGGATTCATAGCTCACCTCTGTGCTTTCCGTGCACGGTGCCCAACTTCACCCTCTGCTATCCTGCCACAGCAGTACGGGGTAGCTAAGGCTGACGTAATTATCTGCTGCAAGGGCATTCCCCACTTTCAAGTACTAAAATAACATAAGAGTTTCCACTGTGAATGTACCGCCTGCCTGGCTGTGCTGTGCCAGGCACACACACGTGACGTCTTGCCTGCGTCACCCGCTAGTACCAGAACGTGCTAAAAAATTACATGGAGACGTGTCGTTCAATGCAGGCAAAGGTTCTTCAAGGAGCACGCAGAAAGCAGGACTAGCACTTCATCTAAACATGCTTCTGTACAGCATCGGAATATTTCAAAGACCCTTCTATCAGTTTCCTGCAACTAGCAGAAGCTCGCCAGAAAGCAGCGTATCAACCTTTGAGATCATATCAATTACCAATATATTACAACATTTTAAAGCACATCTTTCTGCAGTTAAAAGACTTCCAGGCTTCTGAGGGGATTAATAAATTATATAAAACTAGTCACGACACCTTGCACAGTTTAGATCAAGCACACAGCCTTTGGAGGGATGCTCAATAATTTAAGGTTTTCTACATTGCTCTTTTAAAGCTATGCACAACACAAGCATGTCTCACCATGATACTGTGTGGTGTATCTACCGAGAGGGAAAGAGAAAACACAGAGACAGAAAATCTGCGTGTGCTGCCATAGAAATATAAAACAGATAAGCAACCACGCAGCAAAGAGAGAAAATCCTTCTCCGAAACTGGGTGCCCTTTCGCCACAGGGGGGTCCCTTACCTGTTTTGTATAGAGACTGTTATTCCTTTGACACTCTGTAAGGTAAAGCTACTTCTGTTGGCAATCATTTCTCTTTACTTACTTTTTCTAAAGGTCCTATTACAAATAGAGGGCTGGATCCTGCTGGGGTACACAGAAGAGTTCTGACAGAGCTCTGCCAAGTTGCAGTTGTGTCTAGTGAATATGGGGTTTTGTTAGATGAGGTCCAGTTTAAATGCAGTAAGACAGGAGAGGCAGGCAGGGCCCGATGGGTCAGCAGGAATGCTGTGCCCAGCATTTGTCACGAGGCAGCGAGCAGCTGGCTCCGAGGGATAGAGTTTCCTGGGAGCCACCGGGAGTACTTGCGTTTCATAGTTTAAGAACAGAAATGCCCGTGAGATCATTTGCTCTGGTCACAGGACAGATACCCCAAGACTTGAGTTAGAGTAAAGCAACTGCTTGGAAGACTGTATTTGATGCCATGAGCAGGAGAGACTGAAGTGCGAGACAGGCACAAGGCTTGCCCGAGCAGGTAACCCCTTCCTAAGGCCTCAGAAAAAGGTGACAAACTCCAGGGTCCCAATAGGTGGTCCAGGGGAAAAGTATCCTGAGTCTACACCTGAGAAGCGGTACTGCCCTCGCCGTGGAGCAAGGCTGCGCGCACCGACAGCCAAAAGAGCATCACCACTGTCTGCCTCCCTGCCCGAGGGGGAGATGGGCTGGGGAGGGGCTAGCAGCAAAGCAACAGAATACTTGTAAGCAACTACATTTCGGAAAAAAAATAAATCTTTACTGACACCTGCAGGTAACCAGATAAAACCCTAACACATGAGGTTTTGTTATAATCACCATTTAAATGAATGGAGGGGAAAGCCGAACACTGAGGGAAATGTGAGTTATTGCAGTCACAAGTATTGCTTTCAAACAGAGCACGGAAACGAGCCCTAGCTTCTGGGGTTTGAGCCAGAGCCTGCTGAAATAAAACGGCCAATTCTGGATGGCAGTGAGAATAAATAAAGGAATCTTACCGCGACCTGTGTATGCAAGCCGGCATTCTAGCTACAAAGTACTTTCTTTTTCCCCCATTGTAGAGGTTTTTCTCTACTTCAAACGTGAGTTTATCTCAAAATAAACAGAAGCGGGCTGGGCAGAGCAGCAAACACACAGCCCTTCTGCTGTGCTACAGCAGGGCTCCTCCGCGTGCGACAAACAGAGGCCCAGGCTCTGCACTTCGGCAGGTCGGACGCCCTGGGAATCGCCCACCCCCCGATGCCCGAGTGCCACAGGGAAGCCAGGGAGCCCTCAGCTACGGGATACAGCACCACAGGCTTCCACGCTGAATACACCCTACATACACTGATAAACCTCATCTGACCGCTATCTTATTTTATTCTGTCATCTACCTCTTGCCCAGAACCGTAAGGCAGCTTGGTTTTGCTCTCTGCAGCTGGTCAAAACCTCGACCAGCTACCACGAGAAAAAACGATGCCTGTGGTCTCCCTGAGCTGCCTACGCCCCTGAAATGTCTGGGCCCGACCGCACTGACAAGGGCACCCCAAGTTAGCAGGTGGAAAAGCTTCCCCTTATTTTAAGCCGGCGGGGGCTCGGCAGGTAAAGGGGGGAACGTTTCCCTGCCCGAGCCGGTCGAGCTCGCGCTCGCAGTCGCGCAATAAACGCCTCATGGAAGTTTCCTCTGTGTTTCATCTCACACAGGCTACGCGTGCACGCAGGCGGCCAAACCACTAACCCGTCACCGGGATGCCCGGCTGACCCGCAGGCTGGTCAGCAGCCGAGGAGGGGGCGTGTGCGCTGGCCCTGGGCACCGCGGCTGCCGCCCGGCTCCCAGCCCCACCAGCAAAGAGCTTCCCAGTTCCAGGGGCTGCGGCGCTCCCAGCTCTAATTTAACCACAGGGCAGCTGTGGGACAGGCTTGTGCATTCACGGCGTTTGCCAGCTTCAGATTTAAAAATCAGTTAGTGGTGTCAGCGAGGCTGCCCAGCCGTTCCTCCCCCCCGGGGGCCGGGCTGGGCGGGCGGCAGGGGATGGGGGCACGGCGGCTCCTGCTGCCCCCCCCCCAGGCTGGGGCCGGTGCCAGACTGGCCTGGCTGCCTGATGATGGCCACATTGCTTTTAACAAAATTAAAAAAAAAAAAAAAAAAAAAAATTTAAACACAAATAACGTCCTACCGATGCAAAATATAATTGAGTACTAACTCCTGGTGGAATATCAGTTTAATTTCGGTGGATAACAATGAAACCTAAAATTAAGAAATTCAGTATCCTGTTGTATCTTAGTAGAATTCCACTATCCTTCTTAAAAACCAGTGGCAATTGTGCAAAAAAAGGGAGATAAAAATCTTTAAAAACTTTTAATATAGCTAAGAAGATTTATAAAAAGGTTCCTTTTACAAGGAAAAGTACTACCTGAATAATTGTGTACAAGCTTACGCCATATTTAAACTTACAATAGTTTCACCATCCAAACCTCTTGCAGTGAAGTAAATAGAAAATGACAACAAATATAAACCGCATTTTTATAAAATTCCTTTTCTTCTCGAGGAAAGTAGAAATGTACTCATAATGAAAAAGTCATCATTAAAATTTTATTTTGCTCTGCCACGTGGGCTTTGTGGGGTTAAAATCCCAATTATTTTATGTTCACCTAGCATTACACTCAGATTTCAGCTATACAGACAGTATATTTAAAACGCCGTCAAACATAATTAAATGGAACCATGTAAAATGAGTTATGTTAGTCAACTTAAGATTCTAAGTACAAAAAAAAAAAAAACAAACCCAAACTGGTAGGAATCAGAAATACAAGAGGAACGCAAGCTGCTTTAAACTCATTGCTGTTAATAGAATTAGCCTTTGAACCGACTGCACTTTCTTACTGCAAAGTAAACTATATAGTGTATCATACAAGAACGCAAACAGCTGAGTATTTTCACATTACATTGCTCAGATCTGGGAATTTTAAGAACACATTGTTACATTCACATTTAACTGTGCATCTTACCTGGTTCTGCCATTCCCCCCTCTGCTAGTTTTATTGGCAAGTTTTAAGATTTGCCTCTGCGGTTGTTCTCGTGAGCCTTTAAATAGAGCAATATTTGGAATGTGCCGCAGCTGCCTTGCTCACTGATGCCAGTTTTTGGCTACATGCATTCAATTGTCTAAAAAGGCAAGGGCTCCAGGGGTTCAAGGTTACCCCTTCCTATTCCTGCAACTGCACATCTGTTTCAGGAAAAGCTGAATAAAGACGAGTTGTCTTTTGAAGAGGGAGAGAAACAAGGGCGAAAACTGCTTTATGGTCTCTTTACAGCCACAGAAACACCGCATGGTAGGTTCATGTAATATTTATGTGCATCCATATATTTAGAGCGTGGCAGGGATCCAGTTCATTCTTAGTCTCCCATGTCTCCCCTCATCTCTCTCCTATCAAAAAACCAAGCCAAGTCCTATTCAGTAATACTTGTAGATGTATTTCTGTAGTTATTATTTACTTGCTAAGCACCACCAGGTACCTTGTACTCCACAAAGCAGAGGTACGTTTAGCGTCTTCCCTCCGAAAGGTTACAGTGTGCAGTCACAGGTTTTCGCTACTCCAGTGGGTAGTGGGCAACAAAAGTCAAAGGAGGAACATTCCTAAAATGATCTGAGAATTATTTTGTCCTAAACAGGATAAACCATTTCAAAGGGCAGCCTTCATGTTTTTTTCGCTTCCGAATCAGAGATGAGTGCCCGATCTGAGCCAACAAACAGGACAAAGTGCACACTAGCTTATATCACATAAAAGGAGAGCTCAGTATACAGATCCCCTGGAGTGACCCTGGCCACAGTTTTTGAGCAGTGAGCAGAAGAATCCCACTCAAAGTTAATCAGGGAAATGAAGTCCTGTATAGAACATTCAGGGGAACACACAGGTGCACCACACATTAGCAAAATGCCCCTAACAAAATTAATTTTTCCAGGGACGGGAGGACATTTTTGCTAATGTTCAGCAAGCTTCTACATAATCCCATTTCAGAGCTGTGCCTAGATACCAAATGAAACCGAGATTCTTCCTGTGTGTCCCTAAAATGGATGAGGACACAAACTGCTGCTCAGAAGCCGTCCCCTGGAACAGGTGCACAGGATGTTTTGAAGAGCTCTGATCTGCGGGTTTGTGCAGCTCAGAGGAATTGGTTGTGGGCTCCCAGGAGACACGACAGCGCTCGGAAACACATTATGCCGATCTCCTAAAAGAGACTATCCCTTTCTTATCTGCTTGTTGATTAACGATTAAATACTTCACGGAAACAAAAATAAATGTCAATTATCACCTTTCCTCAGAATTGCTTCCTCTCTTACAGCGGCTGTGGGGATCACATCTTCCTTGGAGCTATTATATCAGACAGCCTGAAGAAAAGGAATTAAGCCAAAGTTAGATTCGAGAGCACCAGATGGAAAAAATACTGGCTTTTCATACCAGCATGATCTAACTCGTTCTAAAGCAGCTTCATAACTCAAGTATTTGATTTTTAAAGGACTAGAACCGCTTATCATGGAAATGCAATCCCTGTCCCTACCAAGGAAGGGTCAGTTCCTGAACACAGGAGCTGTTTTCCAGGGATCCCTTCCCAGTTCCCTGCCCTCTCCGTGACTGCAGAGGCAGGCAGGGTGCAGGTACACGTCCAATGCTACACCTACAAAACAGCTGGGAGAGACAGCCTTCAAAATACCCACAGAAAATGCAATTAAATGTCTGGTTATTTTTACAGGAATAATTTTTTTTTTTTTTTTTTTGTCCTAAATGCAAGAATGAAAGCTGTGAGGCCCAGGCTACACATGACTTGTGTCCATCTACAGAGTACTTTCATCCGGAATGAACAACAACAACAAAAAAAATGGCAGTGGAATATTTTAAATACAATTATTTGTATTGCTGTGATCGGTATCTTAGAAACCGTGCTAACATACACAATGTGATTGAGCAGCATTCAACTCTGGCAAAACTTTACTGAAGACAGTTGGTTTACATTAGTGATGAGTTTATCTTTGTATAGATTGGTTTCACTGCATGCTATAAACAGTCCCCATTTTTTGGTCTTTTGAGTTTGGCATGAATTCCAAGATGATGATTACAGAAGAATAACTGAAGCCAGGTCGTATCACCTAAGGAAGTTTTCATCAATTTCTGAAATCAGTATCTTGACCAACCTGTTCCTCAGTCAGTTTGCGCTCCCTGTCTCTTAGGTTCTTGCATTTCTGTATGATAAAATACTTCAAAGCAGGTACTTTGCGGCATGATTTCCAGTTCTGCAAATGCAACAGAAACACTGAGCTTTATTGTCTGCCCAGTATCACCAGGTCCATACCAGTAAGACTCTGCTGGATGAAGGATCAGACTTCCATTCCCTCTAGTAGGAGCACAGGTCTTAAAGGATTTTTTGGGGGACCCAAAACTCCAATTAACACCAGTCATATGATAACACCTTTTAAATAAGTTTTAACATCGTCTTAGCACCAGCAGAATTTCTGGGATTTGCTGCCTTGCAGAATTTCCAGTGGCAGCTGCGACAGCACTTGCAGCGTCTCCAGACCTGCAGGTACTTCCCAAGGCAGGCCCAGCGAGTCCCCTCAACGGATCGCGTTCGTCTGCTCAGGGAAACCAGGCAAAGGCCTCCCCCTGGTTTCTAGAGATCAGTCGGATCAAATGGGCCTGCTAACATAATAACTGAAACGGCAAGTTCTCCGAGTACTGAAGTTTTCTCGTACTGGATATGCCCCCTGTGTCTCCTCTGATGGCTTTTGACAGTCCTCTGCATTCCTAGGCAAGACAGTTCTCCCTAAAAAATGCTTGCCTTTCCCCAAGCACCGCATAAGGAAAGTGATTTAATAACCGCTTACCCCAAATGGGTGTACTCTTAAAATAAAACCCAGAGCTATACAGCATTTTATTATGACGTGCACAATTCAGTGTATCGCACCGTTTTGAGACAAGAATAAAATGCAAGCTTTACACCCTTTATCTGGCTTAGCTTTAAAGCAGACTTTTTGGGATAAGATCCAATTTGTTGTAAAAAGAAACGTAACTCTGTTCTCTGTGTAATATTGAAAAAACCCACCACTGAATTCTTGGAAAACACACCTCTCTGATACAATAACTTCATTGGCTGCATAGCTGCTCCCGTAAGAATCCTATCTGGTTTGGTTCTGCTAATGATATATATACATCTGATCTAATGGAAATAGTTTCTAGCAGGAACCATGTATTCCCAACAAGACAATCTGACCTTCACAGATTGGGATCTTTCCAGGCCTAGTTGCCTTCAGCAAGGACAGAGAGTCATTGCTTCTTCACCACGGTTTTTCTAACTACCCCCCTAATTGAGCTGCAAGCATAGCAAGTATTGTTCTGCAAGTCTAAAGCGTGAGGTTAGGGATATAAAAGTTGTAACTGCAACAAATAATAGTGTAACAATATAGACATTATTTTAAACAACACCTCTTCTGTTTGGAAGAAAGGAATGAACTGCAGATAAATTCTACAATAGGTCTCAGTCCAACAGCCAAAAAAAAAGCAGGGGGACAGTTTCAAAATATGAAAAACGAGGAGAGAGTACACAATGCTTACGCAAAACCTCAAGGGAATGATTCATTGCAAAAAGCATCTACTTCTTTGCCTGCTGAAGAACAATGCACAAGATGAACAATTCCCTCATTTTTATTTGTGTTTCATATTACATTATAATTTTTGCATGTTTTTTTCCTCTGTGCTTGTGCTGGGATGATGAAATACTCAAAAATCAGAGTTAGACTTGGATGGTTAGTTGTTATCAGAAATGAGATCTCTTTTTCAGCCTTCAGTCCACTGAGGTACTCAAATGGATTTGTCTCACTTAAATCAGTCTTTTGAGCAGGCTCCTTGACTTCAAGTCCCATTAACTGCTCAAAGCTAGGAATGCACTTTAAATGCTTCAAATGCCTTCAGCACTTTATGTGAATTAGGGCCAAAATTAGGAGGAAGAACTGAGTAAGCCATCAGCGCAGCAAGTCCTTCCGGAAGAGAAAGATACTTTAAGGGAAAAAACAGTACTGATGTTTTAAAAAACCTTAAATTCTCTTTAGATCCATGTGGACTTTGCCAAAAGAAAAAGAAAAAAAAAAAAAAAAACACCCTAGAGCCTGCTGTTGGGGGTCATTGGCCATCGTTTCCAAAGCCCTGCTGCTCCCCAGCGCGGCCACACGTGCCGCCGGCCGTGGGGAGCGGCGGGAACCCCCGCAGCCGCGCGACTGTGTCCGTGCCAGCGCTTTGGCGAAGGGTCGGAAGAAAGTGTCCCCCCCTCATGTTTCAAAGTGCATTTATTCCACCCATCGCTATCTTTCAGCTCACAGAAAGGAGCTGTTGGAGGCTGCCACCCTTTGAGAGACCCCGGCCATCCCCCTCCGAGGCTTTTCCCTCCTTCGGCACCAAACCTGACCCGGGGAGCTGTCGGTGCTGCCGTGGCAGCGGGCGCCCTCGCCACACCAAAGGCGGGACCTGCCCTCCAGCACGGAGGGCACCCACAGCCCAGCGCTCACGGAAAGGCCACAGGCAAGGGGGCAACTAAAGCCAGAGTCCCAACCTAAGGAAAAGCAAGGGAACGCTAGCAGAAATGCGTTTGTCCAGCTCTTTAGCAGGCGGACTGGTCACCTAGGAGCTTTCCAGCAGCCTAAGCTAACGCCACAACATGGTGCTGGTGATTTGTTTTCCTGTAACAACAGCGTGCGCAGATCTACCATCGGAAACTGCAGAACCTCACCAAGAAGCAAACTCTTCCCCCTTTTGTACCAGACGGGATTTCTTCACAGCACAGCTCCCTCTGAGGAATGCTGGGCACAAAACAGAGAAAGCAAACGTCAGCTGCCCGGGAGCAGCAGCGCACACGCGTGCGCTGTGCTACTTCCGCGGAGTCTGAGCGATTTTGTGTCTGGTGTTTGGGAAGCAACTGTCCGAACAGCTCGTGAAAACACCACCCGCTTAGCACAAAATACAATTGGCAATATTTGCTGTTTGAATAGCCACTATGGTTAGTGTACATTCTAATCTTCATAATTTCACCAGT